AGGGGACCCGCAGCAGAGTGGGAAACCCAGCCCCAGAGAAGGAGGGCAGCGACCACCGAAAGCTGGAAAGGCAACATTGGGAGCATGCCGACCCCGAGTGCGAGGAAGGGCGCAGCGTTGGAGCATACCAACCCCGAGCGCTAAAGGGACGCAGTATCAGGAGCATGCCAACTCTGAGCACCAGGGTAGGCGTAGTATCAGGGTGTGCCAATTCTGAGCGCCCAGTGAGGCGCAGCGCGAGAGACAGGGGCTGCGGAGAGCCTGAGCGCCCAGTGAGGCGCAGCGCGAGAGACAGGGGCTGCGGAGAGCCTGAGCGCCCAGTGAGGCGCAGCGAGAGAGACAGGGGCTGCGGAGAGCCTGAGCGCCCAGTGAGGCGCAGCGAGAGAGACCGAAGAATGTCTGGTACATCAGCGAGGCTTGGGGCATGGTACAGGCATGGTTGGAGCCATGCATAACCCATAAGGCCGGGGTACACAGAACACCCATTATAGAAACAGGACAAGGGAGAACAGGAGAACTGTGGCCAAGAGGATGAAAGGCAACCTCCCTTTAATATATATAAGACCAAGATGTGGCGGGCGAGATTCGAGGGTGCTTGTAGGCAGCTTGGCACAGTACAGAGGACAATTAGGGGAGAGCACTGGGACCCTAGGACACCCCTCTTGTTACAGTTGCATACATGATCTGTCTCGTACTTTGGCCTAAAGTACCATATTTCATTCCCAGAGCAGAGAATGCTGGTTATAAAATTTAATGAGCCATTGTTGATACAGGCAATCCTCAAACTTACAACACAATTGGTTCATAAAAACTGCATTTTAAGTCAAAACATTGTAACTTGGAACCAATTTTCTCATAAGAAACAATGTTGTAAATGGGGAATTGGTTCCTGAACCAAGGCCCAATACCCTATTTTCACCGAAAATACCCCAGAATTTTGTACTTGATCAATTATAGATGAGTAATATAGCTACATTAACGTATTTATATTGTAAATAGCAATCATATTGATTTGGAAGGACTTCTTTCAGGTGACTTTGGACTTTTTGAAAGGTTCCTGGTTGGACTTTTTGAAGGGTTCTTGGCTGGAGTCTTCTCAGGAGCCTTGGCTACAGGTTTTTCTGGAGTCTTGCCTGCTTTCTTAAAGAAAGTGTCCAAGGAGTTTTGGACAGATGTTCTCCAGGGAGAGGAACAATGCAGCGAACTTGTTTGCTGGCGTGGTATCACATTGGATCAAGCATTATAAAGTCAAAACTGATGTCATAAAGTTGAAACTGGGTGTCAATTTATAAATGTTGTAAGTGTGAAACATTATAACTTGAAATGTTGTAAGTAGAGGATTGCCTGTTTTTTAATTGGGTATTCCCATAAAAAATCACTTTCTTTACCTTGGAATAGTAAGAGTTGAAAGTTGAAGCAACAATGGTCTAGGAAATATCAAGAGGTAAGGCATTTCAGTGATATCTTTTATTGGACTAACTGTATATTTGGGAGAGCTGTTGGACAAGCTTTCAGGTATCAGTTGACTAACTAGTGTGGAACTTGACAGCATTATAGATAAGATATATAGATTGACAGAGGCATCTAGAGAAAAGTGGCCTAAAAATAATCATCAGAAAAATAGAAGTTATTGTGGCTTGTGGAGATAGATGGAAAGACATAGTAGTAAAGGATAGGACCTATGTCAGGTACAGACATCCGGTACTTGGGATCTACATTAACTGACAAAGACAACTGTGGTAGAAAGAGAGAGGCTTAAAATAGGATGGAAGAAGTGGAAAGAAGTGTATGTGACATTCCAAAGAAGCTGAAGATAAAAATCTTCCTTCCCTTCTCATAGTGGTGAGATAGAGTGGAAACTTGGGTGATTTTGCTAAGGAGGTATGAGAAGGCGTATGAGTGAATGAAGATGCTAAAAATGTTGGGCATTTCACTTAGAGATAGGCACAGAAAATAAGAGATCAGTGACCTGCTGGGTGTGAAAAACATTGAGAAAGCCAGGAAGGTCCAGTGAAAATTCCTAAAGTATATCCTCCATAGTAAAGATGGAAATACAAAAGTGGGATGAAGAAGAAGAGAGAGAGGCTGAGCTCAAGGTGGAAAAACATATCCAGGGAAGATTTGAACAAACTGGGAGTAAGAACTGATTTTAAAAAATGGAGCATAAAGGAATGCAGAGCTGATTGAAAGAGTGGGGTTGAGCTTCTGTAAACAGGATGGCCTAGACCAGGGGTAGGCAACCCCCGGCACACGTGGAATGCAAAGGCATTTTGCTTGGAATGCACACCTTGGAAAAGGGGCCGGAGCTGTGCTGGCACAACAAGGATTGGACCCCTTGCAACTCCCCTACCGTCCACCTCTGGCACACCAACATCTTACAAGTTGAAATTGCAGGTGTTTTTGGCACTCCACCCAAAGAGGTTGCTGACCCCTGGCCTAGACTTTGCCACTGCTCATGTTTCCTAATGCGGTGAGAAAACTGGGCAAGCTAAGGAAGAATGGTATAACAGCGAGGCCAACAGAGTGGTGTGTTCTCTTGGTTCCTTTTCTGAAAGCACTAAGGGAGGAGAGGTATATTTTTCCAATTGCAGAAAATATACTCTCAAGTAAAATACTCCTATAAGGATATTATCTTTTTTGAAGTTCTAAAAATATTGGTTCTTCACAATGGGCTAGAACTTGTCAGTGCTGAATTCCAAGGTTAACAGAGACAGTAAAACTGAGCCACCATCATCCACCAGAAAATAGGCTGGAAATGAGAACAGTAAATTACTAAGAGTGTTCTACAACAAAAATCACCATACTTATTAGTTCTGCTGATCATAGGGCAGTCCTCATGTCAGCCACTTGAGTAATTTAGTGAATTGGAGCAACATGATTGCCTTTGTAAGAAAATCTTTGTCCTGAGTGGCCCACTTAAAAGATGTCAAATCTAAGAGGCCCCACACCTTTTTTTTTAATTTTTAATATGTATATTATAGCTTGCCAAAACTTAAACCTTTTAATCGCCTCCGATAACACTGGAATAAAAAAAACACTGGGGTTTTTTTGTCTTTAAATGTCATTGCTCTTTGAGATTCTGTGGTTGATCCTGCCTAGGTAAACAGCATAGAAGAAATGGTTGACCTAGCCAGCTTGTTCTAATAGAGTTTAAATGTCACATAGCTGTCAAAGCAATGATTTTCTCTCAGTGCAGCCTTAGAGAAAAGAAATAATCCGTTGAATGGTGTCCTAATGCATAGGGACATAAGTTTACATTTTTTAAATATAATAATTGAACTGGAAAGATTTGTCTTACTAAGTAAATGTCCTGTTCTGGACAAGCGGTAAAGCTGGTCATTTGTCTGGATTTATAATTATTTGCTATTCTTGTTAAAAGTTGCTTATTTAAATGGAAAAAAAGGTATAAATTTGTAATGGTAGAAGTTACAGAGTATGAGGAAGATAGGAACTGTGCCTTTAAGGCCAGGCCGCGCTGGCCAGAAGGGGTGGGCTCTAGGGCCACATAAGCTTATCTTGAGGGAGAACTTGGTAGACAGGCTTATGCAGAGCTGGGGAGAGGTGCCCCCATGAAGAAATGGAACCTCAAGTGTTGCGGTGCACAGACTGTTTGTGATTTGGGGATCATTTGGGCTAGCAAGCCTAGGGATACCATTGAGAGGGAAGATCTGGCCCTGCAACTGCTTGGTGGGGGGAGTAAGGGGGAGAGTTATCTGGCCCTGTGAACTCCTGTTGGGGGGGAGGACAGAAACAAGGTTCACCAAGACCAAGTATTGCACGGGCCTGAGTACAGACAGTTGTATGATATAAAAAAAAGAAAGAGAGGCATCCAAAGGTTGCTCTCCATTTACATTTTTATCTACTCAACAATTAATAACAAAAAACGATGCAGGTGAGGAAAGCTAAGCTGCCAGGATTTTGGGCAGGCAGGCAGGTAAGAGCTGAGTCTCAGCAGTAGACAACACTGGAGTCTTCGTGAAGTGCATTCTTTTTCTTTAAATTTGTAACCACCTGGCAGAGGAAAACTTAAGAAGCTTCTAGGCCAGGGGTAGGCAACCCCTGGCACATGTGCCAGAACATGGCATGCAGAGGCGTTTTGCTTGGCATACATGCCTCAGGAAAGAGGCTAGGGCTGCACTGCCACGATAAGGATTGGGCCCCTTGTGGCTCTCCTGCCTTCCACCCCTGCACAACATCTTACAAGCTGAGATTGGGAGTGAGGTCATGGGTTAAGAACTACATCATTGGAAGGGGACACCAAACAGAGCACACCAGCCAGCACCCAATGCCCCCTGAAAGTCAAGGAAGCCTGTGGATGCCAACCAGCAAAACTCTGTCTGGATACATAAACAGAGTAATACCAGGAAAGCAGCCCCACACTCACCTGGGCTCCTCCAGGCCAGAGCCTCCTTCTAAGTCTTACAGATGTGGGGTGGGGGGAGGAGGCTGTGGCAACCCAGCCAGACTCAGCCCACCCTGAAAGGGAGCACCTGTGAAGAGCGGCTAATGGCTTAATTAACAAGTCATTAGGCTGCCTACTGTTTCCCTCTTTAATCTCATAGGTTATGAGTATTAGTCCACCCTTTCCCTTCTCTTTGTTCCTTCCTCTGTCTTGCCAGCCTTGTCACCTGCTGGGGCACTGCCTGGCTTACCTTCCCTGCCAGATTGTACTCCACCCTGTGCTAAACAGTAACTGGGTTTATCAGTTAAACAATCATTTAACCTTTCACATCCCCACTCTGATCAGCCTGAAGTAGGCAGGTGTGATCTCATGCTGTGCAGCTTCCAGTCTTGCTCATTCTATACTTCATCCAGAAAGAGAGGTATGTAGGTGAAACTGTCCTCCATGCCTCTGTTTCTGGGAGAACATAAGAGGAGCCAGACTGGGAAGAGCTACAGCTGAGCCACCTTCTGCTATCTGAGGTAGATCAGAGGAGCCCTGAAACAGCAGGAGTGTGTGCAGGGCAGTTTTACCTGGATTCTGCCACAGTGGCAATGCTTGAAAACCACTGGGCTATGGGGTAATTCGGTTTTTGTTGTTCTGCTAGAATTTCTTGGTCAGTGTTACAAAACAGTGAGTCTTCTTGATTACTTTTTTTTTTTTTTTTTTTGGTCATTCCCACATGATATTTAGCACTATTGAAAAAAAAATTGACCAAAAATAATGTTCAGAGTCAATATAGATTTGCTTCAGCTGAAAGAATCTTTCATTTGTTGCAGTGTTGAGTGAAAAAGTAATACAGTGAGCTGTAATTTTGTAATCCTTTGGGCAACCTTTGCAAATACTGCTCATCTACTTGCTTAGGGCAAGTTAAACATCATTAGTAAAAAGTCTTTTTTTTTTTTTTTTTTTTTTTGGCTAGGCTGAAAGTATTAATAAGTCTGGGAACAATACTTCATCACTTAACAGTCAGTCTTGTGGATGCTTTTGACCTACAGGTACTGCTGTTAAGTTCTTAACTTGGCATGCACCCTGGGACCAAGACCAGTTTTGGAGTTGTCTATCTGGTTTTACAGTTTGAAGACTATGACTTCAGACAGTAAAACTTACCACAACTGAGCTGTTCTGTTTAGATTAATGAGTCTAGTACTATTTTTGAATATATACTTATCACAGCAGAGTCTGAGCTATAAAGAATAGCTTGTACATGCTATGAGAGAGAAATTATCTCTGCCTTTCTGATAAAGGACTGTTTAACCTCTTCACTATTCATGTGATAGGATTCTTTACACAGCTAAGCTGCTAGAGGACTAGTTGGATTTCACTCTTTGTTAGAAAGCTATGAGAGTCTGATAAGTCATATATTCTGCACTTACAAATTGTAGTGTTACTTGGTTTTTGTAAGCTCTGTGGAGGCAAAGACCTCCTTTTTTTTCTGTGTTTGTACAATGAGTAATGAATTTTATTTACAGAGAAAGGATTATCAGTGTTAGCCTGAAATGAAGTGGAAGGCATGGGAGAGGTATACCTTATAGACCAGCTGAGTCAGGGATACATAAGCTTTTGTGAGCAAAAGTTCACTTTGCCAAATGCTAGGAAACAACATGAACAATGCAGGCTACCAAATAAGAGAGTGACTTGAATACGCAAGACAGGGAAGGGAGAGAGCTTATTTGTCTTGTACCAATCTTTGTGTTTTGTAAGTGCCCGCAGCATCATGTATATTCAGCATCCTGTGCTTCAAAATGGCAGCAGGGGTGCTTTAACTAAAGCTCATTCAACAAGCTTTAGTTAAAGCACCCACCGGGTGTCAATTTGAAATGCAGGGATGCTGAATACATATGACATGGAGGCTGCTGGAGTGTGCTAATTAGTATACTCCAGCAGACACAACTAATCAAATCTGCTGCAGCATGTGCTAATTAGAACACATTGAAGTAAAAGTCCGTTATGTGTAAGTGCCCAATAACACAACAACTGGGCCTTCCAAACTAGCTGTTTCACTTCAACACTAGATCTCTGGAGGTAGCCCAAATCTTGAATGCTTTTGGAAGGTTTCTGAACAAACATTATAATCCAAATGATAGCAAATAAAATACTCTATATGGAGCTTTGACCATAGTTCTTATGACACTGATCCCACAAGGTTGGGAAAGAATTATTACCTCAATTTTACAAATAGGGTAACTGAAGTACATAATGGTTACATGCAGAGTTTTAAATATGGATCCCCTTAACTGGGCCCTTAAAGAAGTTTCAAAGGCAAAGCTAATGAAGTGACCTAAAATTTATCCCAATGTAACTGAGACTATATTGTATAAACAAGAGCAGGATCTAGCTCATTATCTTCCACTTCTCCTGTCCCCTCTGATCATTAAGCATCAGCTTCCTCCAATTCTCCACAAAATTTCATAGTTGTTAGCAAAACAGCACCTGAAATAGCATCCATATCTCTCTGCCTCATTGACTCCTATTGCATTTCAAATATACTTGGAAATATATATTTACTTCCTTGACTTCTGTTTTAATTTTCCCTCCTCTGATATTTTTGTCTGCAGTTATATTAGTTAAGCAACTACAGCATGTTGTGTTTTGGGTTGTATTACTGACATAATACAGAATAAGTTTAATTAGTACATTCTGTACAGAGGAAAGCAAATTGAACAAAAAAGAAAATGATAAGTTAATTAGACCCACTGAATTTGCTCTGAGGGCTGTTTTAATAATCGTAGCATGTTGCAAAAATGTATAATACTGTGTATTTTTGTTTTCTTTCAAAGGAAATCATTGTAGGCTTGGTGTCTTGGAAATATGGAATCGATCTCAATGATGGGAAGCCCCAAGAACCGCAATGAAACCTTCTTACCAAATGGTGTCAATGGTATCAAGGATGCCAGTAAGATCCCTGTAGGCATAATTGGAAGTGGAGACTTTGCCAAGTCCCTGACCATTCGGCTTATCAGATGTGGATACCATGTGGTCATAGGAAGCAGAAACCCCAAATTTGCTGCTGAGTTCTTTCCACATGTGGTTGATGTCACTCACCATGAAGATGCAGTAGCCAAAACTAACATAATTTTTCTTGCCATACACAGAGAACATTATGCCTCTTTGTGGGACCTGAAGCATCTACTTGTTGGTAAAATTCTTGTTGATGTTAGCAACAATACAAGGGTAGATCAGTATCCAGAATCCAATGCAGAGTATTTGGCATCACTTTTTCCAGATTCCTTCATTGTCAAAGGATTTAATGTAGTGTCAGCCTGGGCGCTACAGTTAGGACCCAAGGATGCCAGCAGACAGGTACAGTATGTGTTTTGCCTTCGTATGATGTGTATGCAGGATGAAATCATAGCTCTCTGATGCCAGGAGGCAGAACTAGCACTTAATGTCCTCTTCCCAAACATTTCTTTTCTTTGTGTTTCCTAACACTTAAACAAGGATAAAAGCTGTATTTCCCAAATACTTTTGTTTACATTTTAGTGATGCTGTCAACTTTTGCGAAAAAGGTGCAGAAATTTGAAAGCTTGACTCCAGGTCTTGGGATATAAGTGGAAATGTAATTGGAAACAAATTGCTTAAAATTAGAAATTACTGAAGGCTTCTGGGCTGCCCCAAGTCCACCCAGTTAATGAAAAGGAAGGAGGCAAATATGGCTATATGTGACTGTTTTCGGATCCAAGATGGCTTGAGCACTTCCTGCTCAATATATACTTTATGTGCCTCCAACAAACCTCAAAACACTCCTCCATAAAGTGGAGCAGCTTTAAACTTGCTTTGCTTTTCTTGGGGGTGAATTGGTACAGATTTTTGGGGCCAATACTGATAGCCAACTTTTAAGGAGACATATCAGCTGATATCAGCTTGGCAGCTTGAAGAGCTGCCTGCAGCTGTTAAGTCTGGGGTGGAAAGGGAGGGGAGAGGGAATGGGTGTGGGGTCACAGATCAAGGCCCCCACAGTGAGAGAGGAGTGGGGCGGGGTCTGTGGCAAGTGCTGCCCAGCCAGGGTGGGGTGGGCACAGGATAGAGCTTTAGCTTTGGGGAGGGGAAAGCAGCTCCCACCGCTGCGTGCCACTCGTGCAGGAGCCACTGGTCTGGCGGCTCATCTGATGCTTGTCCAGGAGGGGGCGGGGTGGGGCGGTGTGCCACTGGATCTGTGCTGGGTGGGACGAGGCAGGCTCTTTCCGGTGGGGCAGGGCTGCATGCAGGGCTGGTAGTGGCAGCGCTGTGAGGGGGCTATGGTGGGTGGAGGCTGCAGCCACCTCAAAATTTGCCATAGCCCCCCCAGCCCTCCTCCCAGCACTGCTGCCACCCACCCCAGGCTCAGGGCCAACCCCTCTGGGAAGACCTTGGCGCAGTCCTGGTCCCAGCCCACCCCATGCAGATGGGGGGCACATGGCCCCTCCTCCCCAATACCCTCCTGGAGAAGCCACTGGACAAATAGCTCTTGCACAAGTGGCATGCAACAGTGGGAGCCCCCTGCCCTGGCCTATCTGGGCAGCGCTTGCCCCGTGGGGCAGTGTGTCTAATTAACTTGTCATTTTTCTTTTTTGTTCAATTTGCTTTCCCCTAACCACCTTGATCAGCTCCCTACCCCCTCTCCTTCTACCACACCAGACTTACCAGCTGCATGCAGCTGTCCAAGTTGCACAGCGATGTTCCTCACCGCCTATGTGCTGTGCATGCACAAGTCACTTATTGGCCAAATTATCAGCCATCTCAGGCCAATTTCCAGTACAGACAATTTTCTTTATATCGGTGCCGATCTGATATGAGACCAATGTGTTGGTACAACTCCACTTTTCTGGAGTTCTGTATGCAAGCTCAAGAGCCTGACCCTTGCTGCCTTTACAGATTGTGTTGATGCAGGAGAAGTAACTAACTTAGCATGACTCTTAGCGCCCAGGTTGACTTTTCAAGTCTGGCACTTAGAAAACAAACATCCTTTTATTAAACTGAGAACATCTTATGTGGAATTTAGTCTGATAATATAAAAATAGACCCCCATGTATGCCTTTTTTTAGAAGCCAGTTTCCAGACTAGAACTGTCAGTAGGTAACTTTTTTCTTCTCATCGGGATTCCATTGAAGGTGGGTTCAGTGCTGATAATAAATGGCCATAAAAAGTGATCAGAAAAGCACAGTGCTGGGCAAAGTATACAAATGTAGATGATAAAAGACAAAAATACAGAGCTTTAAAACAGCACCTTTCTTTCTCTATATAATGAACTAACTCTTAGGTTCTGCATAAATGGTTGGGGGAGGAGGCTATTCTTTTGCTTCTAAAGCCCCAGTGATTCAAACACACTCTTGTGGGAGTTGGCTGTCAAATCAAATCGTTGTTTAAAATATGATTGATTAAAAAAGAGAGGTCAGAGATGTCTCCTGCACTGTTTTTTGTTGCTGTTGTGTTTGTACTGGGGCCACCAGGTAAGCTTCCTATATTAAGGTAAAGAAGGGAGTCACTTATTTGAGGGATAATTTTAAATATAACCCTTTAGGTTTCTTCTAATCTGGCAGACATTTTAGTGTGGTAAATAGTAGGCATCTTGCAGTTAGCTTATATTAACTGAGGGGAAATATCATTTTTGTTTAGGTAATTTTGTCACTAAATCAGTTTGCTTTACTTTGTCTTGAATTGTTTAGGGATTTTTTTTGTTCCATTTTTCCTCTGAGGTTGTGTCTTGTGATGGTGATGAGTAGTTTGAATGTTAGTACTCTGATTTGATCTTGCATGCCTGGAAATTGTTGACTTCATTTTTAAAGGCATCTCTATGACTACAAATAGTTAACTTGACTTTTCCAACAGGTCTATATATGCAGTAACAATGTACAAGCTCGCCATCAAGTCATTGAACTTGCTCATCAGTTGAATTTTATTCCCATTGATTTGGGAGCATTGTCAGCATCAAGGGGGATTGAAAACTTACCTCTACGACTGTTCACACTGTGGAAAGGGCCAGTAGTGTTGGCTATTAGCCTGGCCACTTTTTTCTTCATCTACTCCTTCATCAGAGATGTGATACATCCATATGTGAGAAATCAGCAGAGTGACTTTTACAAGATTCCCATTGAGATTGTGAACAAGACTTTACCAGTTGTTGCTATCACGTTGTTGTCTCTGGTGTATTTATCAGGACTCCTGGCAGCTGCTTATCAGCTTTACTATGGCACAAAATATAGGCGATTTCCTGCTTGGCTGGAGAGTTGGTTGCAATGTAGAAAGCAGCTTGGTCTACTCAGTTTTTTCTTTGCTACGGTACATGTGGCTTACAGCCTCTGCTTACCTATGAGGAGGTCAGAACGATATTTGTTTCTCAATATGGCTTATCAGCAGGTAAGACAGACCCATTTCTTTATATAATTAAAGTAGAGTTAGTTGGTTGTGTTTCTGACCTATACCAGTATGTTTGAATGCATTTTATAGAAGGACAAATTTATAGGTCTGTGTTTTGACTGATTGTTGCCCAGTGGGGAAGGAGGATACAAGTAGCCATCCTGATTGAATGTCTTGTGTGAGACCAGTCACAACTAGGTCCCCACAGCAGGAAAAGTTAAAGATCTGTTCCTTTTTCCCATGAGGGATACACATCACCCATTCCAAAAGAGGTTGAGAGAAAAGGCAAAATCAAAGGAGCTCTCTTAATATCTAAGATATTTGTCATCTTGGTATCTAAGAACCTAACAGTATTTTAAAAAGCAAACAAAAACATTAAGTCGTTTCCCTACCATTTTCATGGCAAGTGTGTCCTTATTTATATGTAGAAGCTTTAAGAGTGGATCCTGTATACACGTACAAAAGCTCTATAAAGTGATTACTTAAATCCTCTACTGAATTGTGGCCAGGACAGGACAGGATTATCCCAAGAAAATGTGTGTTCCTACTAGGGGTGTAAATACCATTTAAAAAAATTTATCCATTTAACCTCCTAACTATAGCAGTTAAACAGTTAACCGATAGCACATGCCTATTTTAGTGACCTACAGCTAGAATAGCCCCAGCCCCTTCTTCACTGTACACCCAGTGCTGCACGGGTCCTAGGCCACTGGTGGGGAGCCATGGGCGGAGGGTGGCGGGAGTAGCCAAGCCACTAGGGGCACTACCTTGCTGTGGAGTCACGGCTACCCCTTGCCCCCATGGGCAGGGGCTGCAGATGGAGCCAGGGCTGCATACCTCTCTTGTGTCTGGAACCTACTGCTGTGGGGAGGGAGGGAAGTGGCAGGGCCCCCCAGAGGGGTTGGGCAGGGCCTTCCCCACCACAGCAGTGAGACTCTTAGCCCCACAGTGGGTCTGTCCTGCCCCCCCCCCCCCCCCAGGGGAAGGGAAAAAGGCTTCCCCCCCCCCCCCCCCAGGGGAAGGGAAAAAGGCTTCCCCCCCCCCCCCCCCAGGGGAAGGGAAAAAGGCTTCCCCCCCCCCCCCCACAGTGGCAGGGCAACAGGCTTCCTGCACCTCCTGCCGTGCCTGTGCTGCAACAGCCCGAACCTGGAAGGCTCCTCCATGCTCTCAGGCTGGGTCCTTCCCAGCTTGCCTCATGGCAAGGGGAGGGTCCAGTCCCACTGAGACAGCCTCTGCTAGGCACACTGTTTTTCTTCCTCCCGCCCATGGCGCTGGGGCTGTGGACGGCCTGATCCATCCCTGAGGCGGTGCTGAGTGCATGGCTGGCTCAGCCTAAAAAGGCACCATGAAAGCTGGAGCAGGTGGCTTCGGGTTTGAGGCTGCTGCTGGTCCCTCAGTGTGGGGTCACACACTTTGCATTCCTGAAGAGCAGCAATGCAGCAGGGCAGCCCGGCAGAGATCCTGGGGGGAGTGAAAGGGCTGCAACAACCATTTCCCAGCTTGCAGCTGCTGTGCTGCCGGCCCTCAGGAACACCCTGGAGCTGCACTCACTGCAAGATTGGCTGGCAGCAACCCCTCAGTCCCAGTGTTGCCTGCTCCCAGCTGTTGCAGCGCCTCCTTGGACTGAGCCAGCTGCTTGCTCAGCCCCACCTTAGGGCTGGGCCAGACCCTGTGTTGGCCCCAGCACCACGGGCAGGTGGGGGAAGGATGCAGTGTGCCCAGCAGAGGCTACACCGCTAGGACTGGACCTCCCCTTCCACCATGGTGAGCTGGGGAGGGCCTGGCCTGGCAATGCAAAGAGGCCTTCCAGGTCCAGGCCATGGTGGCACAAGCGCACTGGGAAGCTCAGGGAGCCTGTCACACTGCCTGGGACCCGCCACTGCAGTGGAGCTGGGCAGACTCACTGCAGAGCCAGGAGTCTTGCTGCTGTGGTTGGAAGGCCCCGCCTGACTCCTGTGGGGGGCCTGGCACCTCCCTCCCTCATGGTGATAGGATCTGGGCACAGAAGAGGTCTGCAGCCCTGGCTCTGTCCACAGCCCCAGCCCTTGTCTGTAGGGGCTCTGCAGCTGGAGAGTGCCCTCTAGTGGCTCAGCTGCACCCATAGCTCCCTCCCTGTGACTCTCCTGCCTGAAGCCCATGCAGCCCTAGTTGCGCAGCAAAGACCCAAGGGGCCAGGACCAGGGTTATTCTTGCCATGAGTTGCTAAATGGTAAACAGTATAAATATAATTGTTGATTAGATGTTTCCATCTCTAGTTCCTACTAGGTTTGCTTGAGAGATGAAAATTTTGACCCTCTAATTTTTCAGGCTATAAGTTTAAAAAAAAAATGTTGCTATGATCTGCACACTCCGGTTACTGGCAACAGTTACTGACTCACCATACCCAGCAGCAGTTGGTTTTACTTATGCCCAAAACATTCTCTGGCAAAACTGTCATCCAGCAGAAAAAGGTCTGCTTTTCCAGTTAAAACTAAGGTTTCATGAAGTAGCATTTCCTTTCAGCAAATAGAATTTGTACAGCAGACTGATGTAATAGGGAAGAATTGGAAGAAACTAAGGCAATGAAAGCAAAATAATGGAACAAAATAAAGGGTTAGATGCACACATGTGGAAAGAAAGGTTAGAATAGGGGTGGGCAAAATACGGCCCGTGGGCCAGAGCTGACAAGAGCCAGGGGCAGTAGGATCCAGGGGAAGCCAGCAGGAGTCAGGGGAAAAGCCAGTCCAGCCCCCCACCCCCACCCAG